TTACAGAATTGCCTTTGATCCGGTTAAGGTGGACTTGTTTTTTAGCTTGCTTGACGCTTCAAAGCCATCTTGGATAAGGAAGTTGTTGTATGGAGCAAGCTACCAATAGGTATAGGGTTGGGTAACATTTCTTTTGATGTGATATAGGTGAAATTAGTCATATAGACCTTATAAAGTGACATGATATACTGTCCACTTTTTTTGCTTGTTCACCTATGTCCGTATATAAAATATGGTTAAGTACGTATGTAAATTATTTCGTATGAAGTTGAACAACTTAGTCATACTTGTAATATGACGTTATGTCTATTAACACTTGTTTTTATATTGGTATGCACTTGCATAGAAATGTACTAACATGTGTTTAGTTAGACAAGTGATGCACAGGAGAACACACTTTTATGTCGTATTTGTTGGAAGACAAGTTAATGCACGTACATTGCGAATGAAGATGTCGTAAGAGATGTCCAACATGAATGTGAAGTGGCTATACATTAGAATCAACCTCTGGATAATCTTCATGTAGAAGATGCAATGAACATTCCTCTAGCAGCCCCGACAGTTGTTGGGAGCGATGACGAGGGTGAGGGAGACCGTAATGTCGGTAACTATCTCATGTATCTTGTGATATTTGTTTTGGGTGTGGCACTAACTCATATTCTTTACTTTTTTCTGGATAGACTTTCTTGAACTATGTTTATATTTTGTTTGGCACCTTTTGGACAATCTTTAAGGTTAATGTTTGGTGCTCTATTTAGATGTATGTTGTAATGTTACCTCCTATATTTTGACATTAACTGGGGAATGTATAAATATGATGTACATTATGAATGGATTTCTATTTTAATTGATTTTTGTGTTATGATATGATTGTTTTGTTTAATGAATTGGTATAAATTGATGGTGTGTCAATGGTTTGTGCATTTGGTTTGCACAATATTATATAGAAAATGTCGATTCCTCGAATTAGTGCTGCGAAAAGTGATGTCTTGATGGCTTTGTTGCTTCAAAACAAACAACGGGGCATAGTGCCTAAACGAGGCAGCATGACAACCCAACACTTTAGGAATCTGTTAAGGCGGATGAAAAGGGGGTTGTCGGCATTTAGCATGGATCAAATTGACCTTGTGAAGATTATCTTTTTCTGGAAGAAGCAATACTTCACTATCAAGTCTATGTTGAAGATAAAGATGTTTGCTTGGGACTTGGCTAACTTGTGCGTCGTCGATGGGCTGATCGTTGAAGCGCATGACTGCTTAGTGGAAAGTGTTTAATTCAAAACTATATTAATGAATATCATCTCATGTCTCTTTGTTTTATTTGTTTTCACATTTTCTTGAATTCTTGATGTGTTTAAAAGTGATTAACTTGCAGGCAAACAAATTTGCTAGAATATAGTGCATTGATCCATGTCCTTTGTTTGAGAAAATGATGGAGGTTTTCGACAACATGTCCCCAGAAGAGCTGATTGAAAGTGTGGGCTCCTATTCAGGTGGAGATCTAGTAGAAGACAAAGAAGTTATCGATGTTTCTAATTAAGCATAATCCCTATCAGGTTATGACTGTATGTAAAATATGTTTTCCACATGCCATTTTTGTTTTTGGGTATGAATGCGTGTGGTTGTAGTTGTAAATCACGACTATCATGGTCAAACTTAGTTGTTGTTGATGATGTTCAATGGTACTATCTTTTAGGAATGTTGGTGTTTATATTATGTATGTAAAAAAGTTTATGGTGGATGTTTTAAACTTGCTTGTGGAGCTAGTTGTATTTCTATTTGGTGGCAGTTAATGTGTTTTCGCTGGTATCTTATATTTGGTGGCAGTTGATGTGCTTGAGGTTATATATGTTGATGTATTGTGCATGCAATTTATTTTTTGTATAGGGAATGATAGTGTTGTGTGTGTTGTGCTTGAACTTGTAAACTTTGATCAATTAAAAAAGAAAGAAACTAGAAGAAAGAAATATTATTGAGACATAACTAGCCAGAACAATCTTAAAGGAAAACTACATATAAGAGGTCTTTATATAGTAAGGCAAAAGGAAAACAAACAGACTAATCTAGGGCAACATAAAAGAAAACAAATGACTAAGCTACTCCTAAGTTTAAATATGCTAACTACTCTAACACCCTCCATCAAACTCATGATGTGGTAGCAGAAAATATCAAGAGTTTGCCAAGAAGAAAATAAAAACGAGTGATAGGATGCGACTTTGTGAAGAAATCTACTAGTTGCATAGTAATCAAAAGAAAGGGAAGGAAGATAAATCAACAGTTGAGCCAGTAACTTCTGGAACATGGAGCTCCTCCAACACATACAGTCCTCATTTTCTATTACATATCCTAATCAGCTTGTTGGACTGTAAATCCTGAAGGACTTGAGGTAAATGAACCTATGAAAGAGATATTGTAAGAACTCCAGGCTGATGGAGAGAGATTAACTTCTGCAACTGATCAGCAAACATAGTTAGGCTGGGGGCCTGTGAGGAGGACTCATCCACCGGTGTTGCAACTGCTGTTGAATGACGATCTTAAAGCTGAAATGACTGATTTGTTGTCCCCCTAGCATTTTTGTTCACCAGTTTAGGGCATTGAGCCTTTTAGTGGCCCTTTTCATGACAAAAGCTATATTCATCTGAAGGTACAAGACCCTGATATTAATTTTGTGAATGAGAAGTCATTGTGGGAGGCACAATTAATACAATCTGAGTAGGCAATGGAATAAGACCTTTCTCAAAGAGAGTCTTAAGATGAACTTCTTCAGCCAGAAGCTCATTCACTACTGCATCAATTGAGGGAAGTAGATTATGATGGAGAATAGAACCACAAAGTCCCTCGAAGTTATCCCTAAGGGCCATCAAAAATTGTATCAACCGCTGCTCCTCTCTAAAAGTGTGATATATCATATGAGTACTCAGTTCAGTAAGTGCTAACTAATCCCAATATTCAGTCATAACTGAGTAGAACTCCTGGATGTTCTTATCACCCTGGCGTGCAACTCTAATTTCATGCTCTAACTGATACCTCTTTGCAAAATTGGACTAAACAAATAAGGTAGCAAAATAATCCAAAATCTCCTTAGTTATATTAAACTTAGTCAAATGAAAATCAATAGTCTGATCAACAGAGTTGTTAATTCAAGTGATGATTTTAGCGTGGTTGATTTCCCAAGTATTCTTTAAGTCAACATATTTCTTGACCTTAGGATCAGTTGGAGCTAATGAATCACTACTAACATAAATCTACATTTCCTTACTCAACAAGAAATTTTTCATAACATAAGCTCAATATACATTGTTCTCACCTTTTAATCTGACACTGATAGCCTAAAGAGAATCAGAATTTTCACTAGTCATAATATCCAAATCAAGCAATCCAAAGCAAATATTAAAGTAAACAAACGACCCAATAACCAAGCAAAATCCAGTAGCCCAAAGCAAAACAATAACCTATAGTAAGCGATTTTCAGCAAAATCTAGCAACCCAACAACCTAGCAAAATCTAGTAGCCCAAAGCAAAATAATAACCTTCAGCAAAATCTAGCAACCCAACAACCTAGCAAAATCCAGTAGCGCAACAACCCAACACCCAAATAGCATATAAGGGCCCAAAAGTCAAAACCAAAGCATAGTAGAAGAAAAATAGCCAAGGCAACAGTAGCCCAAAGCAGTAATAGCCCAATTTAACAGAAGAATAGCCAAACCAGAACTATTCTAAAACTAGCAGTAGCCAAGATCAACAAACTCTAGTAATTAGGATTTCTTACCTTACAACGAGAAGCACCAGCATCGACTAGTTTAGTGAGGAAGACCCAGTAACTAGAAGCACCAGCAGAAAAGAAGAGGCAGCAAACCCAATAACCAGAACTAGCAATTTATGCAACAATTGGTTCAGCGAGTAAGACCTAGCAACGAAAACACCGAAACAGTCAGCCAACACACAGGGCTGCACAAATCCAATCACAAACAAAAAGAAGAAGGCACTAGTGAAGTCAAAAGAGACCTCCCCAGAACAGCAACCAACCAACAGAAGCCAAGAACAGAAACTATAACCAAAAGAAGCAGCCAACGCCAAACAATCCAAAGTTTACCACAAATTAACTCAACAACTTTGCAAATCAAATACACATAACAAATGGAGGTTTTTTACACAATAATAGAGCAAAAATGACACTAAAAATCAAAATTCGGCATTGTTCACAACATGAATAGTAACTTCGGTACTGTTCACAGCACGTGAACAGTAATTTCGGCACTGTTCATTGAGTGAACAGTTTTTTCGTCACTGTTCATTGCCCTTAGAACCACGAAAACTAGCAACCCACCAATCACTAACCCTCAAATCACACAATCCAGCACCAAAAACCTTTAGTTGCACTATTTAAGCTTGATATGACGTAAAGAAGTCAAAGAAAATAGAAAAAAAAATAAATCGTCATAGATGATGTAAGCCCTAATCTAAGAATATATTCTTTCTCCAACTAAATTACTGTGGTGCTACAATATATTTTGGATTGAAACCATGCTTTGATACCATGTAAACTTTGATCAAATAAAAAAGAAAAAAACTAGAAGAAAAAAATATTATTGAGGCATAACTAGTCAGAACAACCTTAAAAGAAAACTACATATAAGAGGTCTTTATATAGTAGGGCAAAAAAAAAAAAACAAACAGACTAAGCTAGGACAACATAAAAGAAAATAAATGATTAAGCTACCCCTAAGTCTAAATATGCTAACTACTCTAACAGAACTTATATCCAGACATTGTTCCAAGGGGCTGTTAGTTTGAGGCCAGGTTAAGGCTGGACATATTCTTGCAAAATATTAACCAGTCATTGTTGCTGCAATTGGTCTCTGTGTGTTTGAGATTGATTTTGTATGTGTGTGTGTTACCTGGGAGATAATTGCAACAGTGCATACCTGGCTTTAGGTCATACCAGTATTTGTAACTGTCTACAGTTGGACCGCCATTGTTGTTATTGCACTGACCACCTTGATATGAGCCTTATTATCTCTAGTAATGTATACAGAAAACATCATTTGTTTGAATTTTTATACGTATCACAAACTATGTTAACCATTAGCTAGACAAAGCCTTGATTTTGTCAAAAGTCTCCAGGCCATGAAGAATAAGAATTCTACTGATCAACAGTGCATTAAAATACATGATACAACACAGCGCTAAAGCCAATAATGGTGAAGAGGAGTTTGAGGAGGTATTGAGGAATTTCATGACAGTTCTTGATGTCGTGTACAAAGAAGATGAGAGGAGCTTGGCTTCTACAGAAGCGATTGCAGATAATTTATTGTAATGAGAGAAGCGACTGCACTTAGGTTGAAAATAATTTATTGTACAATTCCAAAGCTTTTATGTAATGAACTCTTATGTCATGATTCAACCAAAGAAAGCTTAATCCCACTTCAGAGTAATAAGGATTTGTGTTCAGACTTATGCTGTTTTCACGAAGTGATCCTAGAGATGATAATTCCTTTTCCTTTACAAAAAAAGCAAGGTTTTTGGTTTTAGTCATGCATAGGTGGTTTAATTAACGAACAAGGGTATGAATTGTTTTAGATTATAAGGTTACAATTGTCTTTTTCATCTGACACACTTTTTTGTAGGTATCACATAAATTTTTTTTGTAAGAAACAAACAAGGGGAAGGATGGGATAAAAGTTTTAGACCAGACATAGTATTCCATTGGTTAGGAGCGGAATGTATATCATTTTCAATACCACCCATAATCAATCCCCCAAACAAACGTGCCCCGAATATATTAAAATAATTGTAATGTGGCCCTTTCGATAGTTTTCATTACTCATTATGTAAAAACTATTCTACTAACATTGATGGAACGAGCAACAGAACATAACAAAAGAGCCCGATTATGATACTTTTAATATATTAAGAGTACGTTGTGAGAAGTTTAGTCTTTGAAGGTGTAAAGTAAAAATTATTAGATGTTTCGATATGCATAGTGGGATTCCCCGTTTTCCAAAAAATCATTAGATTCACATGATCACATGAAATAATGTTATACCGACCAAAAAACAAAGACAAATAATTGAGCCCAAATAATGTGGCAACTTACATTCTAAGTAAATCTTGAATTTTAAATGAGTAACAGTGGAATACAAAACATCATTATTGCAGTATCACATCATCCATAATTTTAGTCATTTTTTTTTTGTTGGTGTAACATTACTTGATCACTCAGCTCGTGGCCAGAGTGAGATTGCTTCATCAAAGATATAGTATCGAATCAGATGAATTAGGCTGCTCTGTTCATCCTGTTTCACTTAAACGATGCCTTTCACCCAAAAGAAAGTTCAGTTTTCCATCACTTCTATCTTTCAGACAATTCATTTGCCAGCATTTTGAACAGGCACATAGGGGGAAGAGCCTAAGAAGAAATGAAGAATACTCTTGCAGGGTAGTAAAGTTTGAAAAATATTACATTAAAGTGGAGGAAGATCATGACCAACTCTAAGCAGTAAATATACTCCATTCCTGTAATGCAAGCCAAGCAAGGTCTGCTGGATATTTCTCTGTTAATGTCATGTTTAAGATGGTTTGTAGCAGGTCAATCTGCTCTGAATCACGCGCCTTTCAACTGGCTGTTCCAGTATCCTAATAATTCCAACTTGATCATGCCCAGCAAAGAGAAGTCAACCTGTGATTAGCCGTGCCCTTCAACATGTGGCCTTAAGGCCATTTGAGGGCTAAATTGATGTTAACACTAATTCACGTTATAGAATTTCTCTTGTTAAACATTACAATTCATCGTATAACTTGCATACAAATCCTCAAACAGAAGCACCTATTGGATTGAGAGCAACTCTCATCACTTGGCCAACAAGGGGTAGAAGAAATCTGGAAATAAAAACAACAAAAGCAATTGACAACTCTTCAAAAATATTTAAGAATATACATAAGCTATACTGCCATATCCTTCTGTAACAATTTCTGATACTCTACTGTATTCAGAAAACATTAATAACCTCTTCACAAGAATGTCAATTCAGAAATGTTGGCTCCGTTTACTTTCCTGATTTTCTATTCTTGAAGGAGAAGAAGGACCAACAACCGGGCAAAAAACTGCTCTGCTTCCTGCATTACATTCAACAAGCATATGTTACATACAAGAATGATGAACATGAATTGCCGATGCAGATCATTAAATCTTTCTCAAATAACAAAAGTAAACATGAATTTTTCGACCTAATGTATAACTTCCATTCATGCAATATCCATCTTTGTCAATCTGAACCATTTAAATTGGTAATCACTCAATAAATTCTACTATCAGTTATTTTCTTCTCTATGGTAACTGCATAGTACCTAATAAATCTGGCTTTTCCATCTCTAACGTTGTAGCTGATGCAAAAGCAATTGCTCAGTCAAGGTATTTTACATATTATCTTTGGCATATTTAACATCCCTTTCACAAGCTTCTAAAGCTTGAACTTGTCATCAAGTACAAGAGCTCTAACTCTAAATCATGAGTTATTCCCGTTGTTGTTATGCTTTCATGGAGAGAGTAAACAAGAATCATCCCAACCAGTTTCAATGGATGGTATCAAAGGATCCAAAGAGATTTGGCTAATCAAATAGGTTGAGAACGGGGTCTCACTGCACAAGCAGGAATCTTTTCATTCGTTCTCCCCATTACTAAAAATCTGGTTTCTCACTCATTAGTAATACTTCTAATTTTCTCCTCACTCTTTGTTTAGGATTGCTCCAGCCAGAGCTAGTTTATGTAGTGTCACCGGTAACTCAGTTTTTTTTTTCTATTTTGTTTTTGTTTCTCTCTTAAAATATAACACTATGGTATGATTACACTTTATTTGTACTCCATATGATTTACAGTTTTTGTATGCATTATTTGCTTGCATTCTACTTTTATTCCTCCCAGTTACCCTGTTCCATAAGCAAAGATAGCAGATCCTTTTCTTTTTGAACCCAAAACTCAAGAATTAGAGGGTGCGGGGTGAGGGGAACTGCTGAGAAATGTCATAGTTGGTTGAGGGGTCACCCATCCGGTCAGTCAAAAAATAGGATAACAAAAAAAAGTGTCTGGTTGTAGCTAATTGGACTTTCTCAATGTATAATTCCTCTTCTTTCTCCCTCTTGACCAATGCTCCAGTTTCCCACACTCAAAAGCTCAGCGGTCGTGACATAGGTCTATCGAGATAAAAAGATTCTTAGAATCCATTGATTAGTAAGTACCTAACCGACCCATTGTTACGATCGTGTTAAATGCATAACCAAATCAGTTTTCATCAATTAACAACGGTTAAGTTATTAACACCCACCTACCACACCAAGATCTAATCAGTTATCTGCCCTCAATCACTCATAAACACCTATACGTGAATCAGAATTGTAGCAATCTCATCAATTGGTTTTCTGAAAATTAAACATACCTGTTGTTGCTGCTGCTTCCACTGCTTCCACTGCTGCCACTATTGCTACTTGTTCTACTTGAACTCGAACCCGAAAATCTTTTCTTCCACCAATCTTTCTCAGCAACCTTTGAGGCCTTACCAAAATTCTCAGGCTTTGGAGAAACTTTTGCACAAGTGTTTGTAACTGATGAATTCTTTTTCTTCTTCTTTGATCCAAATGAAATTGGAAACACCATCTTAAGAAACAATCCTCCTCCATGATCAAAGCTTGCATTTCTCATCATCTTTGTTTTCTTTTCATTTCTCTTACTTTCTTGCCTCTTTACCTTCACCCTTTGATGAACAACTTCATCATCAAATTCTTTTTCTTGAAGCAAACATTCCTCTGGAGCTTCAATTCTAGGCTGCTGCTCAACAAGATCTTTCAAGGAGAGCTCATACGATGATTCGGGCATTCTCTTGACCATCTCCATAAGCTCCCTCTGCCCTCTGGCTATTGCCTGAGTTCTTGATGTTGGAGAGAGATACCGATAATTGTTCTGGTGATGCCGTGGACTAGCCGGACTTGTGGGAGGACTAGTCTTCCACAAGGGTGGTGAACAAACACCAGACTCATCTTCAATACTTTCAGGCCTAAATTGAACCCCATCACCATTCCAACTCCTGTAATTCTCATAGTTTTGTGCAGTTTTTTGGGCTCTGGTACTATAATTCAAAACCCCCCAACTGCCATAACTATCATTTATACGGCTGTTGGGATCAAATAAGTGGACATAGTCGTTGGCAAGTTCAGGTCTTGGATCAAGCATGGTTTTTGTGAGGGAGAGGTTGATTGGAATAGAGGAAGAACGCAAGGGTTAATTTGGTGGGGGTGAAGAGAGGTGGGTTGTGGTGGTATTGTCATCAATGACTCCTTGACCTATTGTGACTATATATTTATTTTTTTTTGTGAAAATTACACTTTTGACCTATAAATTTTAGTCATGGTCTCACTTCACTCCTATACTATTGAATTTGTCATATTACTCCTTCAACTATTTGAAATAGTTTTATGTTATTCCACAACAAAACAACAATTATGTTTAAAATCGAAAGTACTCGCGTGTCATTAGATTTAGGACAAAGTAAAACAATTCAAATTGTTTGTGGGATAAAGTAAATTAATTTTAAATCCAAATTGTAAAAATATTTGCAATTGGACATATTATGAAATAAATAATCATAGTTTCGAGATATAACATAAAAAATTTAATGTTATTCTTGATATACATAGGTAAATCATTATTATAATAAATAATCAAGTATTTATTATAATATATAACAATATAGTTATAGCAGTGAAAAAAACATCTTCAAATAAACGAAACAAATTCAAAAGCGTGACACGATAAGACTTCAAAGAAGAAGATATCAGAAATCAATCATTGATTTTTAACAAGGATTGACTTCTCGGTTCCTAAAATTATGAGAGAATCAATGGTGACCAATTGGTTAAAAATTGTGACACTTATAATGGGATAATTTGAGATAAAAACTTAGTTGAGGAGGATAAAGTATAATTTGCCCATATTTTTTTTTTTTAAATTGCAATTAGTTGTTAATTGGTGTGGCTCATGATTTTTGTTCTTAGGCTCATAAAAGTCAAGGATTTCTAGATGGGTGTAGGCCCACGCTTTACCCTATTTTTCTCGTTTTGTGTCTCTTTCAACATTTACTTTCTGTTTTGTTTTCCCGGGGAAGGAAAAGACTGACTTGTCCTTTTAGTCAAGAATTCTTTCTCTCTCATAATGGTTTGATTGAGCTACCTATGATCTGTGAATGTTAGGCCAGTATTAGAGCAAAACCCACTTTGGAGGGGTCTACTTGACCAGATCAAAACGGATTGGTTGGCGGAATCAGATTGGGATCCACTGTACCGGCAAATTCCCTGACTAATGGTTGAGAAATTTTTGTGTCAGTCTAACTCACCAACTTGATCGTGTTAAACAGTAGACATCAAATTTGAATTTAAATTTAATTAAAAAATATATTATCGAATTCAATCTATTTAACCAATGGATAAAAAAATTAATACTTATTTAAATCAGCTTATAATCAAATTTTTGGTACGATTATCCAATTTGATTCATAATGGTATTCGTTCATATCCAAGTAAATAGATCCAAATCGGCTTCAGACTGAATTCTAGTGCATTAACAATCCTATCAAGTATAGTTCATCGTCAGAAGTTGAACATTTTTAAAAAATATCTGTTATTTATTACTTTGACAGAATTTTTTAAAAAAAAATTAACTTATGTGCTTGACATAATAATTGTTTATTGAGTATACACACCATTGTTCATAACAATGTCATATGACATGACAATTACACTCACTGTTAGCTTCTTTCCGGTCGAGTATTAAAGAAAGATTTATTTGAAAATAGTGAATTTTATATTAATTTATAATATGTTCCAACATTGAGCGGGGTGAAGCCAAAAATTAATGTCACAATATATTAAGTACTAAAACTAAATCCTAATTGCATTAGTCAAAAGTTAGTAATCATTTATGTATGAGTTTATCTTAATCCATATCACGAGAATTCAATAATAAGGTGGTGATAATTAATATATTTAAATTTTATTTAAAAAATACATATCTAATATCTAACAAAAAAATTGAGGGTAGACACTAGCCTGTCAATGGATCAGATTCTAATTTGAATTCGAATCCGATTAGTCAGATATTTATATAATAAAGTACAATACAATTCAAATCTCAAAATATAAACACAATGACTTTTGCTTTTCGCAGTTGAGTTTTTTAAAATTTTACTTTAAAATTAATCTGACGGCTAAAATTAATACCTCAAATTTAATAGGAAATATGTCCCATAAGGTTGTATTTGAATGAATTTTTAAAAGTACTTTATAATTTCTCATAAGTATTAAAAAAAATAGTGTTTGAAACTATTCCACCCCCACTACCACCACCACTATTGCTATCGTCATTCTACCACCACCTTTGCCATAACAACTGCCGCTGCCACCTCATCACCACCATCACCCTTACCACCGCCCCACAGTCATCGTTGTTGCCACCCCCACCACAATCACTACTGTCTCACAATTACACCTACCACCACCACCCCCACCCTAACCCCTTACCACCACCACTATCGTCACCGTCATCACCTAATCACCACTACTATTGTCGCCACCGTCATCGTCCAGCACTATCGCCACCCACTGTCATCCACACCTACCACCATCACCACCACTATTACTATCTATCATCACCGTCGTCACCCATGACTACCATCATCCTCACCCATGGTTAGGGGTACAACTTAGGCGGGCTAACCCGATTTTAACCCGAAAAAATTACGACTTAGATTATAATTTTTAATACTTGGGTTGAATTTGAATTAAAAAATCTCAACCCGAATTCAATTTGGGCGGACCTAGGGTTGAGCCATCGGGTTCACGGGTTAAACCCGAATTAATACTCTATAAATACAATTTTATCCTAGGGTTAATCTCAACTCAAATATGCGCCTCCCTTATACCCTCACTCATTCTCAGTCTCTCTCAAGGATTCTGGTTGTGCAAGGATTTTGTTTAAGCAGTAAATTCTATGTTTGTGCAAGGATTCTAATTGTATTTATTTGTATTATGTATGGTTGTGGTTGCATTATCTGAAACATTAAGTTCTTAATATTATGATTTTTATGTTCAAAATTTGATTGAAGTAACCCGAAATCAATTCGTAAAATAACTCAAAATCAGCCCGAAAATCATTAAACTGAATTAAACTCAAGTAGTGCTATCAACCCGAGATAAGATTAAGGTTAGAGTTGAAGATTATATACTTAAAATTAAGCTAGAGTTGATTGTCCAACCTGCCCTAGTTGCACCCCTAACCACTACCATAATCGTTACCTAAAATCAGCCACCACCATCACCATTGCTACCCACAGCTGCTACCATTACCACGAACGTCACCACCTACCGCAACCATCACTGTTTCTTATCACCACCATCACAACTGCTACCTATCACCACTACCACTGCTCACCCCTATTATAATTTGGGGTAAATTTTTTTCTCTCTCCTCTATATTTATGATTTGATTTTTGATATAAATAAAAATATATTTATTGTTGACCCTTTTTTTTATTACTTTGTGCATTCAAGTACAAGTAATAACTAGTTGATTAATATATTTTATCGATAATCTGAATCCAAATCCGATATCTTATATTTCATGAATTTCGATTCGAATTTGAATATGGATATATCGAATCCGATTATGATCTTATCCAAATTATTTATATATTTTTATATAAATGTTAAAGAAATTAAATTATTTATTAAAAAAATTATTTATAATTTGTTAAATTCAAATTATTAACATATTCAAATATGAACCACGAAAAATAAAATTCGTATAAATATTAGATTGAATTCGAATCAAACTTTTGAAATTGAATTCGAATTTAGATTACTAATTCAAACTCGATCTTTTCACAAGTCTAATGGGCAATACTTCAATGCCCCCTCAATCCCCCTCTCTCTTTCCAGGCCGGCGCATTGAGAAGGTTGAAATAATTAGCACCAAACATTGGACCGTTGAACAAAATTTACGTCTCCATCCGTCTAAGCATTTTCATCAAGTAATAGAAATTCCATCCGTCAAGCGTTTCATCAAGTAAGAGAAATTCCACACGTTAGAAGACGAGAATTTTGTTTCTATTAACAAAAAAAAAAATTGTGTGGGAAGTTGGAGTATTTTTTTTTTTTTTCAAAAGTGGAAAGTTGAAAGAAATGAAAGCGGAGGAGTGGCTATAAATGTGTAAGAATTTAAATTTAATTATTATTCAAATTCTAGATATTTAATAAATGAAGAGGAAATATTCACATTCAGTAAGATTAATATAATAAGTAAATAGATAATCTTACTCACGTTTCAAAGACACAAGACAACACGTATTGAGAGGTTAACTACATAGTAAGATCCAAAACATTTGCAGACAGTTTGACCAGGACCAACTGCTCTATCCCTTGAGATTAATTAACTAAATCTTGTTTATGGTTGAAAGATACACACAAAATATAAAACTGTGTGTAATAAAACAAATATTAATGATGTTGATTTTTCCCCTAGTATGACGCAGGAGGACTTATTTGTCTTTTTATTTTATTTTTATTTTCTGTAATTTCAACATGGAAGAATGTTTAGACCAACTTACGCGCACCTCAACTAATTCTTTTTCCGGTGCAGTTAAAGGTAGGCCATCCACTCCGAGATTAGTGTACTCATACCCTGATCCAAGTGGTTATTAAAATTCGAACTCAAGACGTCTAAAATTATAATTTGTATTTGTTACCACATAAACTACCATTCAGGTTGTCTTTCAATAATACTATTTAGACGTAATTTGTTGATCTAAGTCATAACAGTCTTTGGATTGGTAGCGGATTTCAATAAATAGTAAAATTCACCGACAATCAAATAATTACGAATGACGAGGTCAATAAATTAAATTCAATTACCACTGCTCATTGGTTTTTTTTTTGATAAAGATAGGGTATGAGGATCAAATTGTGAAGGGCCCTACAATGCTAAAATAAGAAACTTTATTGGTCTTCACCAGTGAACAGATAAGTGCAAAATGGAATCAAAAGATGGAATGGTAGTAGTTTTAAACTGTGCAGGCCATCAAAATTCCTTTGGATTCATGCTATCTCAATACTCAAGATCCCAGTAAGGCAGTAGACCCCCATGGCATTTTTGTCATTATATGATTTTAAAATGGTCAGGCGCGCACAACTTTATTTTATATGTAAAAAAATATTTTCATGATTTAAACTCCAGTGATATATGGTCATGATTTTATTTTATATGACACTCTGA